CGCTGGCCGACGCTCTTAAAGGCCTTTCCCCAGATAATTTCGCAATAACCGTTAAAGCGAGATATTGCCGTCGTAAAAAACTGCACGAACTACTCTTGAAAATTAGACGAACCACTTCCGCCCCGTACATAAGCTCGATCCCAGCGACGCGCAAACTCGCACTCGGCGTGCAAAAAAGCGATCGCGCGAGGGGCAAACGCAAAGAAAGGCAGCTGAGCCTGTCGCGGACGGCGTCGAGCGGCTAATGATCCGGCGAGTCAATCAAGAAGCGATGCAGCAGGCTCGCCAAAGGGCGCGAGCGGCAGAGGTCGGCGGCCGGGGGAGGGGGCAAGTCGCCCACGAGAGGGAGGTCGACCTTGCAGCCGTCGCCTTGGGGGCAGCAGCGGCACAGAGGCAGTGAGCTGGCGCCCTCTCGGCCGGCAGCTCCGAGCCCGCAGCAGCAGCAGCAGCAGCGGCGGCGGTGGCGGCGGCGGCGGCAGTGGCAGAGGGATCGATCGGCGCCGTCGTCGTAGCAGCAGCAGCGGCAGCAGCAGCAGCAGCAGCAGCAGCAGCAGCAGCAGCGGCAGCAGCAGCGGCGGGAGCAGCAGCAGCAGTAGCCGCTTTAGTCGTCGGCGGCTCCTGCGGCCCGCGCGAGCCCCCAGCAAGTCCGAGCACAGACGCGTGGCACAGAGTCCGTGCGGCGAGGGGGCGCGGTTCGACGGAGGAGAGCTCGCGAGAGAGGCGGCAGTGCGAGAGGTGGCGATGATCGCCGAGGCTAGCAGGTGATGAGGAGTCCTTGCCGTTCCTCGCCAGCATGCTGATCCGCTGGAAGAGCAAGGACAAGGCCTCGAGCAAGAGCGGCGACAGCGGCGGCATCGGCGTCGGCGGCGGCCCCGGCCAGGGCAAGAAGAAGCGCAAGTTCGGCAAGGACGGTGAATATCAATACCCCCCTTCCCTGCCGCGGCCCCGGATACCTCGCCAACTTTCCGAGTCGATTGTACGCAGTGCGTCACACGTGCTGGTGCGTGTGTCGTCGGCCCGCCCGCCAAATTCGCGTTTTGGCCAAAAGGGAACCGCACCCATCCCCCGCGCGCACGAGCCAGCGCGCGCGCGCGCGTCAGAGAGAGAGAGCGGCTATCGACCTCCCGAGAGCTTGCAGCTTGCGCCGCTCTCCCTCTCTCTCGCTCTGCAGCTTACGTCTTCTTTCGGCGGCGGCTACTCGCTCGCTCGCCCCCTTCGCTCTTCTTTCGACTTTCGAAGATTAATCGGCCGCGGCCGCGAGACAGCGACTCTCGCCACGGCTCGATTATTGACGGGAGAGCGCGGCAGACGTTTATTTGGCTAACCCTCTTCCGGCTGCTGCCACCGTGCCACCGTTGCTCGGCGCTCTATATTGCACGAGCCTCGCGCCTACAGCACACGTACCGCGGGGAAAAACAACTCCAGCCTCCCGGAATAACTTATGAGCAAGATGCGATAAATCCATTAAGAGCTACTCTCCTTATCAGCCTCTTTTCTTCTCTTTCTTCTTCCAAATTGAAATTCTCTGCTCTCGAGCGCCAGCCGCTCGCTCATCTGTTTTTCATACTCGCAAGCTATAGCCGTCCACCGTTAATGTTTGAATTTAATATTACCGCTCCGGCGCTAGCTCAACTTTTTCCTCCTCTTCTCAAATATTTCCTCGCCGGCAAGTTTTCCTCGCGCGCCGCGCGCCACTAGAGTCGGCGCGATCGAGCGAAAACAAAATTGCTCTTTTTTTCTTTTTATCCCAAGCGATTCCCGTCACGTCTCGTGCAGATTTCCGTTGCCTTTAATTGGCAGCTCCGGCTCGGCTGTTTAACCATCGCGAGAGAAAAAAAGAATTATCGAACTTTTTCGCGCGGCACAGTTCGGCAGTCGCAATTAACCCCCGGGCTCTCGCTCCCAAGCAAATCAGCGCCAACGCGAACGTTTGTTCTTTTCCTTTTTTTTTTCGCCAGTGCGAAAAAAGCGAAAAAAGCGAAAAGGGCGCTGATGGAGAGCTTTAGACAATCAAGGAGGGCTACTTTCGGGGGAGTAATCCGATGAGTGCTGCAAATCAGCGAGGAATGTCCGTTGGCGAGGCGAGCGGGACGAAGGAGCCGATTATCGCGCGTGTGCGTGTGTGCGGGACACCGAGGCGTCGTCGCTGTGGTGGGGTTTGACAGAGCAGCTGTATAGGCCTACTCCGTGCGTGCATCGCTCGGCGAAGAGCCAGTCGGCGGCGCGTCTCAGCCGCATGCACGTCTCCGTGGAGCGCAGGCGAATCGTTTGTGCGCGTGTGTGCCTACGCGCGCACGATTGACGTATCGTCAGGGCGGACAGGAAGCGCGATCGACGTTTCCGTTCGAGCCATCGGCGACGAATACACCGCTGCGCTATTGTCCGTCGTGTCGCGTGCCGCCGTCGACTCTGAGCGGCCGTGCGCGCGCGCGCGCCGCTATGCCGCCGTCCAAATGCAGCCTGCGCTGATCGCGTCAGCGCGCTTCGCCTGGTCCTCTGGCACGCCGTGCTGCTCGCACGTGCGCGCGCGCCAGTTTAAAATTAAACCCAATGGACAAAGCGGCTGGTCCTGCGCCGCGGAGCTTGCGCGGGCAACGAAGGCCGGGCCACGCAAAAAAGAGCAGCGAGCACGCACAAAGAAGGCGCAGCATCTGCCGGGGCTGCGAGGTTTGACACGCACATAGCGGTCGGAGCATTGAGCACGTGTGCCGTGTACGCGCGCGCGCGCGACTGCGAAGCCCGCAGCGTGCAGTGGTAGCTTGAATTAATCGGGCCTATGACGGATCTATCGGCGCGAGTCGACACCGTCGCACTTTTATTCTCTCTCCGCCGCGTGCGTTGTCGTTGTTGCCGAGCGCGCACGGCCTCGACAACAACAACCACATAATCCCCCATCGATTTGAAGATTGAGGGGGCGCATGCGCTAGACGACTGATAAGAGAGAGAGAGAGAGAGAGAAATAGTGCGCGCGAGAGAGCGAGAGAGAAAAGTCCTCTCGTTTAACTGGGTCATGTACCTTTGACCCAGTAATCGCACGTCAGTTTCCGCCCATCGCCGGCCCCGCGTGCACGCGCTCGCTTGCTTACTCCATCGACACACACCCCGCAACCTGATGCGCTCTCTCGGTCAACGTTATTCCGCCGGCTTAAGAGCCGCAATATCTCGGCTGGCGCTCGAGCTTCTGATGAAATCGCTTGCTGCCTGAGTACGTCGCGGCCCGGGCGGCCTCGGCTTTCGAATATGTGCAGCAAGTGCAGCGACTGCTGCCAGGGCTCGAGACACGGGCCACGTGCCAGCCCCTCGCCTTCGGATTCCGACTCCATTGCCTCAGGTAACTTTTATCTGCTTTATCCGCGGGCGCCGACACCCGAGACGCGCCGTGCTCGAGCGCCCGCGCCTACACCGGCCGATTTCTAATCCGCCAAGGATCGAATTTTGCGTGCGCGCCGCCGGCTTGCGAAACCGTCGACGCGAAAAAGACGAGGCGCGTTTGACCAACTCCAGAGCAGCCGTCGCCGCGGCTGCGTCGTCGATATAGGTTAAAAAGTAGTGGCACTCTGTGCGCTGAGCTTGCGGCATCGTTCCTCGTAATTCGTCATTCCGACTGATTTGCCCCTTTCTGGCTTGGGCAGACGGCAAAGGAGACGAAGAAAGAAATGAATTCCGTTCTTCCTTGACGAGTCTTCTAATTGGAGCTCGTTACGAGTGCGTCAGTTGAATTGTCGCTCTGCCAAGCAAGTCATTTTCACTAGCTGGCTTATGCTCGCTTATAAACATTTGCTCCAGGATGAACGCGGCATCAATTCGAACGAAAGTCTTCGATTCGATAGCGCCATTCGGAGATATTTCAGTACTTCGGTCTACGTACATCTGACATTTAATTTAATTTATGGGCATGAATATCTTTGATATATTTCGTAGGGCAATTCGCATAGCTACGTATATCGGCAGGATGTAACGAATAAAACGGTATAACTTGAAATCGACTGACCAATATTGATTTGTAATTAATCAACGAGTAACTTTCTGTGTGGTTAATGCTTCGCGTTGATAACAAATGTAAATATAAAGTACAACTTGTAGTGGCTTTTAACTCGAGCAAACTTAATTAAAAACGAAAATTTAACGGTAAACTTCTAAACTAGCTCTTTTTAATATATGAGTTACAAACTCCAATCTTTTCATTATAATTTAAGCCGTTCCAAATTCATATTCACTAACTTTATGACATTCATATTGTATATTCATAAAAGATATTTTTAACTACCATTATATATAAAATCACGATAGCATACTTATCCAATGGCGGGATTATTGTTTCAATATTTCAAGGGTAGTAGATCTGATAGCAATGTTTACTACGACGTAAATGGGTTATTTTCTTGATCAATGTGATAGAAAACAGAAATGTACTTCTAGCTGTTTACTACATACATTCATATAAAATATTCATATACTTATCATCATTAAACATTAATTTGTTGTAGATTAATTTCTCGTGAAATTAAGATTTCGAGAAACGGTATTGCATTAAATTATTTAGCAAATGCATGCGTAATTTGTCATATGACAATCCCCTTAATTGATTATATCCAAGAAACCCTTATTAATTATAATAATTATTATTAATTATTCGATTACCGCAATCTTATAAACGATAAATACCAAAGCAGTGAAATTGAAATATAGTTTCTTAATACGTAATGTATAAACAAAGTAATTTTAAAGCCTACTCGGTATAATGACGTAAAAATGATCGCTAAACATTAAAAAATCGCACATACCTTAATTTATTATTTATAAATATCACTTGATTAAAGTCTACGAAATTCCGTAAATTCCCTAAGACATCTTCAGAAAACAAGCAGTGTACAGCTTAAACCATGAACTGTTCTACAGTCTAACAGTGATGTAATTTTTTTTTGCAGAAGAAGAGTGGAACGCAGATGCCAAGAATCGCTATACTAATGAAAGCGGTGAGTTTGATAGAAACTCTTATTGGAACTGCTTTAAAAGTATCGCTTGAAAAAGTTGTAAATACCCCGTATGAGCTTTAATGATCGATAGAAAAGCTTTGTATCTCCCTTGAATAACCTGAACCACTGTTTTCCCTTTTATAATGATCGACGTCGTTATAAAACCATGCCAGAGCCGACAGGCAAACTTTCGGCGCTGTGAGCATTATACTGATATAGCCGAAGAATGCTAAAAGGGCTACGGGTGATTAGCATTTCCAAAGCGATTGTAGGCGCACTGAAAAGTTTTATTGGATTGCCGATTGAGGCGCACAAAGAGCCCTGAAAAAGAGAACGACCGTTTCCTATCCGCTAAAATAAAAAGTTGAAAAGTATTATTAGCGAAAAAAATCGATATCTCGTAATATTGGAAATTATATTGCCGAGAAGGGAAAACTCATTTTTACATTGTAGTCGAGCCCCTTTCCATTAACATTCTTCAATCATCTCATGAAGGATAAGTAATAATTGACTTGCAATGTGAATGCGAATAGGCGGTCGTATCGAGAATTCATTGTATTTATGCGCGTGCGCAAACGTTTGCTGAAAAGCGCCGTTCTGTATAAAATTGAAACAACTCATAAAAGTATTTGGAGCATGCAACCGCAGCCTCGGTATACGCTCGCTTCAATTGAAAGTCGTTTTACTTGCTTCTCAATCGCATGATCGCTTTGCATATACATGCGAAACATACTATTTCTGCCTAGTTTTTGCGCTTGACATTTCATCCGTCACTTCCCAACGTAGAAAAGATCCGATATACCTGTTGTTGATGTATCAATACACCTGTGATTCGTGCCTAATTATATCTTTCATTCTGGAAATTTAAAAAAAAACCGCATTTACCGGATTGTCGCAAGCTCTCTACGTGTCAGTGTAGTCGCGTAAAATTGAATTCTCATTGGGTTGCGTGCCGTGCCAGCTGTGCGCGTCTTATTAGCTTCAGCCAACGGTCGATAACGCAGAAACCTACGTGGAATCGAGAAGCTCCTGGCTATGACAGTTGACAGTAAGATGGCAATACTGACATCTTTATTATTATTGAATAATAGTTTAGCTCGTCATGCTTTTGTAGATGCACGAAGCGTCATCTTTCGAAAAATGTAGCTGTCGTCATCAGCGTGAGCATTGTCAAGTGACGTGCTTGCAGATTTATTATCCATATACTACGAGTGGATAAGAAAGTTGATTGGCGGTCTTTCCATTGTGATATTAGTGTTTCATTCGTCAGTACAGATTATCCTTTCATTAGTGAACAAGAGCATCGTAACTTGTCAAAAAGAATTGTGAAAACACGGGAAACTTGTAATAAAGATAACTCTCCCGAACCTTCACACGCGAGAAGTAAATTAAGTGCTTTAGACAGCACCAGTGGATTACATAAAAGGTTCGTAAAATTTCGCATTGTTATGCAGGCAATACCTCCCTCTTCACTAGCCATGCTTGCGTGAATCCATTTTGCTGCTCTTTTACGAGGGTATGCCGGGCAAATAATGCGAGCGCTGCAAACTGTTTCTGCTTCGAAGCCAAAACTTAGCTATTCTTTGTCCCATCGCTGTCTCTTGCGGTTGACAAATTGCCGGATGATTAATTGCTCGAGCGATACGAATCTGAATGCAAGCGCGCGCGAATCTCTTTAATCACTGCAAGCTCCTTGTACATTAATTTTCATCAAGCTATACACTGTCCTTATCACACACGACTCACGAAAAGAAAGTGATTCGCACGTAGTCGAAGTTCAAGTTCGCGTAGAGAAAATCTCTCTCTCTCTCTCTCTCTCTCTCGCCCTGCAGGCAAATATCCTGTTCTCGGCAGGCTGCAACCTGAAAAGATAATAAAGCAGCGCGTATACACATGCGTCCATCAAAGCTGAGGACGAAGCGCCTATACAGATGTCGGAAACGATGCACCCTCGTCGCGCGCACAAGTGCGTGCAGGCTCGTGATATAACATCGATGAAACGAGTGGGGAGAATAGTCGAGGGAGGTTATTGCCGCGGTGCCGAGCACGGCAGCGTGCGCCTCTAGCGGGTGCCGGTCGAGGCTACGAGCGTCGTGGAAATCTCTTTTCAAATAAGCTTCGCCCTTGCAGCCTCTCGCGCTTTCGCGTGTCAACAGCTGCAGCAGCCACACCCTGCAGTCTAGTGCCACGCGCCGTTTATCGGCTCGAGTGGTTATATATTCTGCTTACACTACATTCGCCACGCATACCACGGTTAGCGCTGTCGCGTTGCACGCCAGAGAGGAAACTGTCGCGACGCGGCGCGGTTCACCGGACAACTAATATTGATTGTTAAACGCAGTTCTCTCGCTCAGCGCTCGCGGACGACGGCGAATGATTTGTTCTCGCGGCGACGACGACGGTGGCGGCTGAGGCGGTGACGGGCAGGGGCGAACGAGCGCGGATGCAGGAGTAGTCTACAGCCAATAGACTCGGTGTGTGCTTGTGCAGGTAACGGCGGCTATACTGTAAAAGCCGCAGTCAGCATCCTCGATTGCAAGAAACGTCTGCAGAAGCACGATCAGTTTTGATCGGAGCAGTGCGTGCGTGCGCGTTGTTGCCGGCTGCTGTGTTATCCGTATAATAACGAGTGTCTGGCGACGAATAGCGTCGCGATCGTTGCTGGCGACCGACTATTACAGCAAAGCTGATTTACGGCCTGCTGACAGTTTTGCGGCAACGGTTTCTTGCAAGTTCCTAGAGTACGAGATGTAAGTAGCTATCACCCTTCCTCGTCGTCCCTTGCGCTCGGTGGCTTTGTGTGTTCGTGCGTGCTGCGACGGCGGCTGCTTTATTCGACGGCACGCGCCCATTGAATTGTGCATGCACGCGCGCACCCCTTTTTTTCGCTTATGGATTTGGCGAACGACAACAAGTAGCGACCGTCTCCTATCAAACATTCAGCCGCTTGCTTTCAGAATTTTTTTCGTACGACTTCTCTTCCGCTGTACACATAGGCGTGTCAATTGACGAGCTCGCTCGGTCTCCTGTAAATTACTTTTTAGCCGTGCTTGCACGTACAACGAAGCAGCTCGCTTGTTCTCATTGTATCTCATAACTTGAAATGAGGACTCTGCATTGTTAATGCAACTCATCTGTCACACGCTACGTTCCCTCTCTCTCACTCTCTCAACGAGAGCGATGAATTTTATAAAATGTACCCGACTAGTCTGGGCTTTCAATTGATCACTTGACTGAGTTTCATTTCTGACATAAATCATCGAATATACACGCAGGGTCAATTGATTAGCTTGACCACAGTTGGATTGATGGGCATCGTCGCTTATATTCGTTTGACGAACAAACAATCGGGCGGCTCGCGTCTGTGCCTCAAATAGTCCTTAATCGCGACTAATAAACACAATGTGGCTTTTCAATTCGAGACTGCTGCTCTTATCATAATCATCCTATTGTTTGGTTACGCGAGCTTCCAGCTGACCAATCGTGCTCGTTTTTTCGTTTATTCAAGGTGAAAACTGTTGTCAATTCAGCGCGTTTCATTGGCTTTCGTCCCTGATGACATTGTATTGATTTATAGACAGGCTCTTATCGGGATTTCCGTACTCAGGCATTCGGCGAAAATGGCAGTTATTGTTTTTTTTTCGAACTACAGTGGTAAAAAGTATATGCAGCAGGTCGGTATATCGATACACCAATGCTTATGTCAGCCTCTCTCTCTCTCTCTCTCTCTCTCTCTCTCTCTCGTTCTGTCTCTCTTGTATTTCAACTCACTTCGTACGTAACTCTCTCGAACAACCAACACAGAGTCGCTATTTCTGATCGTGCGCTCGCTCAGTTGACTCGCAGATTTCCGCCAAGTAGGCCGTCCCTTCAACAATCATCTAATGTACACCGTTCAGTTTTCTTTTTTTTTTCGTCGGTTCAGATTGCTGATATACCGCTCGCATGGTCGCTGCGCAAATATTTGACATGTGCATTGAATTATTCAGATAACGATTTGGCGCTTGTTTGATCGAGCTAGAAACGTAATCTATTTCTCGAGAACTAACATTAACGAGATAGAGAGAGAGAGAGAGAGAGAGAGAGAGCGCTGAATACCCATTATCCGTGAAGCTTATGCTTGTCGCGGAAGCTTTTAAAATCCACGGGAGCGTTTACCTTTGAAAATGTCCTGAAAGTTCGCTCGCTCGCTCCCTCCCTCGCGACAATTTTGACTTTTTAATTGAGTTTATTCGGAAGTTATGCTAGTTCATTACAGCAAATTTGGTGTGCACCCACGTCCGTTGCCCGCCAGATGGAAATCCCCGTGGCACCAAGTTTTTCAAGCCACAGGTATAGCTAGTCGAGCGTCTGCAGACTGCAAGCCGACGCCCTTGTGGGAATCTCGAGTGGTTCATTAAAAATAAACCAGTCGGTAGACTCGAGCGCTAAACGCTTCGACTGAGCGCGAGCATCCGATGACAAGTGATCGCGAGAGCGCGCGGGTGTAGAGGACTGGACTGAAGGTGGCTTGGCGCAACGTTGCAGGTGGCACAGGAAAGGCGGAGGGTGAAGGGCCTAACGATCACGCTGGCAGGCGCATCATCGGCGGCGCGGGTGTGGGCGTCGGCGGCGGTGTCGTCGGGCTGGGTCCGCAGGGCCAGCGGAGCGGCGGAGTCGGCGCCGCGGGCCGCTCGCGCGACGAGCCGCGCCGGCACACGCTCAGCGGCGATCACCAGCCCTCGGCCGCGGCCTTGCTGCACCACCAACAGTTCACCAACGCCGTGGCGGTCGCGCACAACGCGGCCCAAGGGGGCCCGCCGCAGCCTGGCCAGCCCATTCACCCGCTGCATCCCAGGCACCTGCCGCCGCCGCACTCGCAGTACGGCATATCGTCCAGGCACACCACCATGGATCTCGAGGTCAGATTTCTGTCGCGTCGTTCGTTTCGCTCGCGCGCGTTGCATGCTGCTTTCGGACACGGTCGATGCTCTTACTGCTCACCCTCTCTCTTTGATGACCGGATTGATGTGAAATTTGTACATATCAGTTATACGTATATATATATATATATATACATATATCATTTATAAATGATTCGTTGATGGCTAAATACGACTTAACAAACTAACTTGAAGAGTTTTCCATGCACACAGAGTAACATTCGATTTTTTTTTGTCATTTGCTGTATTATTATTCAACTTTTTGAATTTAGCGTTTTTGTCGCTCGTAAACACCTTCAAAAGTAATTAACAAATTCTCAATTAGTCCCAACCTTTTCGATTGCTGTTTACATGTGTTTCTCCTCTTCCTTTGCTAACAGATGGGGACAAAGTCTCGCCAGAGAAAGGTAATTCAATGTGCATATTTTTTTCTAACTTGGTTATTTTAATTAATGTGCATGCTTTTGTACAAATATCCCTCCGAATAGCATTGTATTATATTTCTTAATGTTTTTACTGTTTTCACTGACGCAAACGAACGTACGTTTTATGTCACGGAGCTGCAGGTTCACTATTTATTTAAGGAAATTTCTTTGAAAGCGTAGTTTACAAACGGGACAAACAAACGAAAAGTAATTTGTGATACGCGTACACGAGCGGCAAGTATATTCACGTAGATTCTCATGAATATGTAAATCCGCAGGAATATTAAACTAATGCAGCTCTAAAGTTACAATATTCGCGGCGCTTACGAGATTCCGTGGTGATCCGTCAGTCCATCGCGTTGAAAAGACAGCGTTGTCACGGATAACCCGAAACGAATAGATAAAAATGAAAGGAAACGACGAGTTTAACATGGATGCTTGAAAATTTGTAGTCGCCTCTGCCAAGGGGTTACCCGCCAAACATGGCACACGGCAATCTGTTCGACGACGACCCGGGGATCATGTCCGAAGTGGAAACGTCGAGCACAGGCTTCCGCCGTGGCGGTAAACAACGGAGCAGCTTGCCTGTCGTCCGCACTCCCAGTAAGACTCTCGAGCGTCCGTTAGGTACGTACGTCGTTATCAGCTCGCGCACGCGCGTCCTTATCGGAACCGAACCACCATGAAAACGACACTTGGACACGTTGCAGGATTGGTGTTCCTACAGTACAGAAACGAAACGAAGAGAGCTTTGCTACCCAATGAGATAACGAGTATCGACACGGTGAAAGCCCTCTTTGTCCGAAGTTTCCCCAAGCAACTGACCATGGAATATCTGGACAGTCCTCACGTGAAGATCTACATTCACGACAGCAACAAAGACATGTTTTACGAGCTGGAGGACCTGAGGTATAGATTTTCGGCCGAAATTCCCTTCTGCCCTCGGTAGAACGGCTTCACAAAGCTCTTCAGTGCCAGTGCTCGCGGCTGCCTGCATTTGCAAACTTCGTCAAGCGGGCGTCGCAAGGATTGGCGAGAACTTGATTATTCCGCCGAGGAGCTCGAAGAAACTCGGTATTAATCGAATGAATTTCAAGCACGAGTTTGGCGCTGTCTTCTGCGCAGGTCTCATTTGCGCGACATCCGGGATCGCAGCGTGTTGCGGCTGTTCGAGAGCGACGGCGTTGCCGGGATGCCGGGAAGCCTCGGGGTCCCGGGCGGTCCCATGCTGCCGTCGCACTGGGAGGACCAGAGCTACTTCAGCGAGCCCGAGTTCGACAGCGAGTTCCAGCACCAGCACATCCACAAGAGCAAGGTAAGTCGGCTGTTGCAACGATATCGGCTAGCAAGGATCGTTTTATTATTTCACAAAACAACCTTCGCGTACAGCGTGCCACAAAACTTACAAACACTTATAGCAATATGTAATGTACGCAGACCGCGAGCTTGAACGGAGCGAGTGCGCGTTGCGCGTCTCGGCCCGTACGAGTGCACGTACTCGATGCAACTAGCGCCTATCCGGAGAACAAGACAAATATGCGCGACAGTAGACTAAGGAGAGACGCACGAAACGTGTGAAGGAGCTGTCCGGCGGCCCGTCCGCATTGAATAAATAAATAAAAGTCGCTTTTTGGCACGTGGCGTCGGGGGAAGCAGAGCTGACCGCGTGCAACGAGACATCGTCATAACTATGGCATTGTCAGTCGGAACGCAGCGGCGCCGCGCGAGCCCCGTCAGAAGGCCTTGCAGGCCTGCAGGGCGGGCACGTGCAGCGCGCCGGAGTAGAGCTTCTTCGGCACGGCCCTCCAGCCGAGGACCAGCGCCTTCTCGAACGGCTCCTCGGCGCAACCGTCGCACACGTTCATCACTCGGCGCACCTCGTCCTCGGCGGGCTCGCGCTCGTACTCCTTCTGGGCGTTCGTCTCCTCCTCGTCGACTCGGCCGGCGTGCTTCTGGCGCAGGGGCGCGCCCGCGGCCGGGCCGAAGCCGGCCAGTCCCGTCGCGAGGAAGCCGGCGTCGGACGGCGACAGCAGCTGCGACGACTGCTGCACGTAAGCGTCGTCGACTATCGAGCCGTCCGGGAACACCAGTCCGCGCTTCGCCGTCTTCCTCGGCGCCGGCCCGGGCTCCGAGCTGCTCCGCGCCTGCAACAGTCGAACCGTTGTACCCGTGTGACCGTGCAGGTCGCGCGCTCTCGCCGCGTTCGGCTCGTGGCTCACCTTGCCAGCGGCAGCAGCAGCAGCAGCCACTTCGCTGTGCCCAGCGGTGCCCCTCTTGGCGAGCCTCTTCAGCTCCATGTTCTCGACGATCCTCTGCATGAGGTCGGTGCCGTCGTCCTCGGCGTCGCGATATCTCCTGTCCACGAAGCTGAACCCGTTGACCGGTGGCGCTAGGCCGGCGCCGCCGAAAGGCCCAGTGCTATCGGGCGCCGGCCTCGGGCTGGCTATGCTCAGCAGCTGCTGGGCAAAGTTGAACGGCGAGATCGCGGGCGCGATGGTCGACTGCTCGGGGATGATGGCTGGCGGCAGCGGCTGCGGCAAGCCCGGGTGGCGCAGGGTCAGGCCGTTCTGCGAGATCTGGAGCTGCGCTCCGGGATTCACCTTCACCTGCGCGCACGTTTTCCCATCGCGGGATCGTTACGCGTGCGCTTCGATTACGAGAGCCGAAGCAGCTGTTTCGCGAGTGGAGTTTCACTCGAACGCGCTCCACCGTTTCTTCCCGTCCGATTCGGCGTCGAGATAATGAAATTGTCGCCGTAATTGATCTCGCGACTGGGCTAAGTCATCGTCGTGGCTCCGCCGTCGCAAAGAAACTCGAATCGCGACGATAGATAGCGGGAGCAATTGTTGCGTTCCGAATCCAAGTAATCGCCAGCGTGACCGTCGATATCGAGCCAAATCGATGCGACGCGTCGTTCGTTTCGTGGCGCGGCCAGTTTCTACTCTCCCCCACCGCTGTCTTCATTCGAAATTCCGCGCCTAGCGCGCGCGCGCGCGCGCGCGTCTAACGCATAATTTCTCGCGCTGGCGCTACTCGCGTGCAATTAGAAGCGATCGTTAACGCGAAAAACTCACTTTCTAAAATTATATTGATTGCGCTCGCGCACAAAGGGCGAATTCCGACTTATCGACCGGATCTTCGTGAGTGTAAGAGGAAATAACGAAAAATTACTATACGCACGGTCATTTTCCTCTTTCGCGATCTAACGAAAGTGAAAGTATAGAATGAGCCTATGAAATCGTTTATTTTCTAACAAATATCCACGCTATAACTGTCTGTTTGGCTCGGCCGGCGCGGATCGGCATTTGACGCCGCGGGAAACTCGATAACGCTCTTGTTGTATTTCTCGTTGCAAGAGTGATTGGCTTTCGAGCAATGTTTTCGCGCGCAACGCAATGCCGCGAGTCATCGAAACGCGCCGCGACGCAAACGCGTACGTCGAGCGTGAAATCACCTTGTAATTGATTTGTCCGGCGGTGAGCAGCGGGTGCATGGGCAGAGGTGGGCCGGTGACCGGCGCCTGAGTCGTAGTGGTAGACGGCGGCACATTGTTACTGGTATCGTGCTCGAAATGGTGAGCGTGGTGGTGCTTGTGGTCGCGATGCGCCTTGCCAGCGCTCAAGGCTACGCCGTACAATTGCAGCATCGTTATCTCCCCCAGCATGCCGCCTGATCCTGCAACGTATCGATACACGTGTATGGGTTTTCCGCCTCCGTTTTTCCTCTATTTTCAAACGTTGACGCGGCGTCGTCAAAGTTGCCTCGCAACTTGCTTGCGAACGATCGTGCGTGGTGATGCGTCATTCGTCGCGTTACGTGCACTCCGCGACGATTGCGACGAGAGAGAGAGAGAGAGTCCGCGGAGAAACTGTTCAAGTGACGGTACGCAACGGTAGCGCGTTTCGCGGAAAACCGCGTAGAGACAGATAGGCGCTCCGGTTCGCCGACCACGCGGACGAATAATTAGACGCCGGCCGGGGAAAAAATAGCTGTCAATAGTGCGTGGCGAGCGGTCCAGTGGCCGGATTGTTACCTGGGGGGGCGCCCTCGCCCTCGAGAAAGCCGCCGGCCAGTTGTCGCTGCTCTTGGCCGGAAATGGCCACTCCGCCGCCCTTGATCACGTGGCCAACGAGCTGTCGAAAAAAAATAGAGGAGGAGTTGAGCGAGAACCCGCGACGAGGAGCAGGTTTCGGCGAGGAATCGCGCGTTTACCCGATTATTGAAGCCTCGGCCGACGCGCTCGTCGTTGACCCATATTTGCCACTCGCCCGTGCGACCGTTCCAGCTCTGGCACGAGTGGTACCATCGGTTCAGCCGCAGCGGGTAATTCAGCCTGTAGAGATTGTGCCCGTCGACGTTGAGCATGAAGTACGAGCTCCGCTGAGTGTTGGCCACCCATGCCAGAATACTTCTTGCTCGCTCGCTGGCTGCAATCATCGAGCGCACGGGCATGTAACGACACGCGATACGGCGTGCGTCCTCGCGCCTCGGCCGGCAAATTATCCAACCATCGGTATTGGATTTCCGTGGCACGGACGCTTGCGCAAAAGGCGAGCCGACGGCTCTATCGGCCGCCACAGTACGGACAGAAAGAAAGTTGCGCGATGGCAAATGACTCACTTGCGTACGAGAAGAGCGGATGATCGTTGCTGTGATTGTTGAACTTGGTCCACATGCACAAGGTGAACTCCTTCAGGTCAGGCAGGTCGATCTTGTAGTGGATGTACTGCTGGGCGAACGGGAACGAGCGGATCAGTGGCCCATTATCGCGAGCCATCTCGGAAATTAGCGAGTTCACGGCCGAGATCTTCGCGGGGCTGCGCTCGCGCTTTCTTTCGGCTCGAGAGCGACCGAGAGCCGCGGAAGAATGCGCGATCGAAGTTGTTTCGTGCTCGTAAACGGTGGCTTTGCATAATATTCGTTCTCCGAAGGCGGATTTGCGCGCGCGGCTCCTCGCGACCAATGCCCCCGTCCTCCTCGCGCACGCACTTTCTAGACGCGGCTTCGCCGCCAACTAGATTGGTTCGATTCCAGCGTCGGCTTTGCCGCGCCTCGCCCTTCTCGGGGGTCCGCGCCTGCTGCTCGCTTTCCTCGTCGCTCGACGCTCGATCAATTTGGAGAAGTAGCGCGACGAAGGGGCAAATTTTATTGCTACGACCGGCGGCTCCCGCTAGTTGCAGTCCATTGTCACGCATGAAAATCCCGCGAGCCGCTTGATTATTCAATTATCCTGCGTCTACTTTCGAAATAACGCAGCGTGACAGAGTTGCGCGACGCAATCGCGGGTACGGAGCTCGGCAAAGGGAAAGGGACCGAGGCGCACGCGTCGTCGCGAGTGGATCGGGAGAAAAGTGCACGCGCCGCTGCCGTCGTTGGACGAAAGTGGAAAGACGCGCGGCAAAGTGCAACGTAAGGGCGCGCGCACGCATGCCACCTCGCGCGCGTTACGAAATGAGAGAGCGCGAGCGCGGGGTGGGGGCAGCGCCAGGCGTCCAAGCGAAATCGAAAGTGCCACGCACACGCGCGCACGGACACGACGCTTATCTGCACGGAGGATCGCGCGCAGGCGAGCCAGCAAGCTCTCTTTCCGAGTCGCGATTTGTACGCGTCTACGACCGCTTTCGAGGAAGCGCTCGCCTCGTCACCGCCGTCGCTCACATCGCCAAGTTCCGCATTGGCGCTCGAACGCGCGTTGTCAAAGGCGTTTTGCAATTGGCCACTGGCTGATTAACCATTCAGTCCGCCTTTTCTTCTCCTTGCTTTTGCGAAAGCTTGGCAAGTTGGAGGCGCGTCATCCTTTTCTTTCTCTCTTTGCCGCGTCCAAGGTAAAAACCAAAAGAAAAAAAAAAGAAAAAAAAAAGAAAAACCAAAAAGGAAAACAGGTACTCTCTCGCTGAAGTTGTACTTTCGGTTTTCGTTGTATAACGTCGACCACAGGCAGAAATTGTTGCCGACCCGAGTAATGACTTTATTAATGCTCGCGGGATATAGCTGAATAAAACATGAATCATAGCAAAGAGAGAGAGAGAGAGAGAGAGAAAACGTCGTCAACGAGGAACACCGGTGAAAGAGCGAACGCGCAACGGTTCGCGCTAATGCCCCCGGCCTGTGCTGCGCTGTACGCACGTGGCATTGCGAAAATTGCACTGATTTGGCTAATAAGCTTCCCGAGCTTCTCTTGGGGCAACCGCGAAAAATAAAAAAAAAATCGGCTTCAATTTAGCCGCCGAGCGCAATCGATGGATCTTAGCCTTAACTGGGCCTGCAACACTAATGAGCAATTAACCTCGGCTGTGCGCGCACGCACCGCGATTGCACGCGTTTTAATTCGCGTTACGTCGACTAGGCTCTCCCCCTCCCCCCGGAAAACGGAGCAGCCTCTGTATTTTTCTTGCGGAACGTTCAAGAAGCGCGATGAGAATATGACAATTGAACGCGCGCACGAGCGACAAAATCATCGGCAAAATCGCGTGAAAGATGTTTATTTATTCCTGATTGCACGTTGATCGGTTTTCGCTTGCGCTCTCGTAGCGTGAAAGTGCGAAACCGGAACGAAAGATGATCATAATAATCAGAGAGGAAAGGAGAACGTTTAGGAACGACCACAGTGTCTCTCGCGAGAGAGAGAGCGAAAGAGAAAAAGTAAAAGGAGATCTCTGCGCAGCATGTGCATTCAGATGAGACATATACGGGAAAAATACGCGTGAAAGGCAAATTGTTCGCGCAGTGGTCGTCGTCCCGCTATTTTCATTCGCGGCGTTTCGATTTCGTAGTCCGGCGATATAGCACCTACCATCTACCTCGTGCACCTGACGCTTATAATACATACACTTGAGCGATTCGCGTAATCATTTCTCACGCTCGCGCTCGCAAGTCAAAATCACACAGAAAGCCAGGAAAAAAAAAAAAAAAACAGGACGCAGAGGAAAGAACTCTGCCAGATATTTTTTGGTCTTACCGGCGCTTTCACTCCTATATTACTTTTGGCCTATTGTTATTTACGCCGCTCTCGGCGCATATCACGAGAGAAACAAAGAAAAGCAAATGTCTGTCGCATGAAATCGCGTGGGAGAAATTCAATTAGCGCCAGAGTGAGAGAGAGAGAGAAACAAACAGTTTGTCCGGTACCTGCTTGAATGAACTTCTACCATACCTGTCTCTTCTCTCTCGTTTCTTATTCCAAGTTCACATGTTGATTTAGAGGCTTATCTAACCTTGAAGCCCGACCGACGCAGAGTAATATTTTTTCTTATATAATAAAAAGCACAATGCCGCGGAGAGAGAAAGAGAAGAGAGAGAAAGTAAGTTTTCCAACGTCGTCATTGCAACTGACGCTAAGTGATGCGACGTATTACGCTTTTGATTAATTTGCATTTAACTGTCAGCCTCGTGTAATGCGCTCTTGCACTTTTATTGTCTGCGAGCTTAATGGTGTGGCCGCCTCGCGCTGAAAGTCATCCGGCAGAGAAAGCCATTTCAATTTCAAATTAATAATGCAAAGCGATCGCGGCTCGCTCCTTTTCTTGCTGCTTTGCGCGTTTTATCGCACCTCGCGCGCACTTTCATATGTATATTAAGTTCGCTGAGCATTATGCACGATGGCTCGTTTCGCGCAACGTTCGCGTTCATGCCAATTACGCTCGACAACCCTATTATTACAAAATCTGTATTCAACGTTTGCGATATCAGTTACGTAAACGACATATCGCGCACGAGCGATATGATTAATTATATTATCCGCCGAAAAGAAATTGAAGAAAAGCCGTTGTGTAAAAGCCAGGCGTTTTCCCAATTTTCCTTCGAGCAGCCTCGCGAGTGTACGCTCGCGATTACTCATTTAAATTTCACTTCCGCGCGCCGCGGCTCATCGTTGCTCGCGCACGAAAGTACAAGACCCGCGCGCACGAATCGTTGAGAAACTCGCGTGCGATCGCGCCGAGTGATCTGGCTCTTCTTCGCTCCGATTTCGCGCGAAGAAAAAGAAACGAAGAAAGAAGCAAGAGGTCGGGCGACGCGCTGTCGAAAGGTTGTTGCGCTCGGCAGCGCCCGTGAATTTCGCAGAAACGCCGCCCGGCCCGAGATGGATGATCAGCGTTTCGTCCAACGCGAGCCAGGCTGGCGTTGCGCGCACGTGACCGATCGAAAGCTCCGCGCTCGTTGTCTCGAAGATAACGGACACGCGTAGAAGCACCGTCGCGAGGTAACGAGAGTGGAGGTGAACGGTGTACCGGATGCACAGACACGGACGCACGCGCGCTGCTCTTTTCCTCGCGCGAGGAGAGCTTTTTACGAAGAAAGTGCAGCCTAACGCAAGGCAGCCAAGAAGAGAGTCCATTAACATGCTAATTAAACGATAGACGCACTTTCTTTTCTTTTTTCTCCTTGTTTTCCTTTTTTTCCCGTTCGAAGCGTCTGGAAAACGAACAGGCAAAACGGACGAGCGAGGACTGACTCGGTACTGACCTCGAAGTAGAGCTGCTGATTCATGACCACCTTGTAGATCGAGCACTCGTCGCGGTTAACATGGAGCCCCAGCAGATTCTGATGCTCGGGATCATCCTCGTGCAGATTGTACTTGTAGAGCGAGCCAGGCACGCGATGAACGACGTTGGTGGTGAGCGCTGCCGACGGTATGATTGGTCGCCAATTCTGCGCCTGGATTGCGCCCACCACCGAGGCAGCGACGATCAGGACGAGCAGCCGCTCCATGACATGCCACTGTCGGACTTGGAGATGAAAATCGGCGCGAGGCGCGTGTGTGTGTCGCCCGTTTGGCCGCGCGATCGCTAGTGTACGAGCCAGGCGAACAGCTCGAGAACCAACCTCCGCAACACTTACTTTCTCCCGTCTCTCCGCGCGCTCGCGCCGCCCGCCGCTTTACTGCACCGCTAAGATCGCCACATCCACCACTTCCCGACACGCGGACAGGGGGAGAGAGAGGAAACGGATGACAAATCGATGTCGTCCGTGTTGCTGCTGCTCTCGCGCGCGCGACATTCACCGAGGGAAGCTCCAGTCGACGGTGCAGACTAATTACTTTGGCAATCAAGTTCAATCTCGTTGAAATCGAACTGAGCGCGAGCGATTACGCGTGTCGTGGCACTGTCATTCGATACAACGTTGCGCAGCGCTGCCACACGCGCCTGCGAAGAATAGCTCGTCGCGGCGGGCCGCTTTGCGCATACGCCGTGCGTGCACGGCGGACTGCTTGAACGCGATTTATTTCCAACCACATCCGCGACAAACAACTTTTCTCCGGATTGCACAATAAATCTGCGCGGCCAATTTTGCACTAACGCGAGCAAAACACTTGCAGATTTACAATTCGATTAGACGCTGATTTGCAGCTTTTGTCAACAACTTGTTTGTCTGCTTAGCTTGGGAATAGCAAACGACAGGTTATCCAATCAACTTTAGAGTGGAGCAGTAGTGCCAGCCGGCGACTATCCGTAACACAGTGCAACGTAATGGCGGCGAAAACGAGAAAAAAGAAAATTAAGTTTCACCCGATAGCGCGGAAGCCGGCGCCGGCAGCTTGAAAAATGGTTATCCGCGATGACCTTGTCTCCGAAAGAATCGGTATCAAGGCCGCGGTTGTGCCGCGTTGCCTCGCAAACCGACCGAAAATCCAGCAGCGTCACCGCGTCGACCAGTCCAATGGGCAGGCGATGGCGAATAAAAACTCCGGTCCACATTGCAAAATAGAGAAATCGTGCACTTGCAAGAGATATCGAATAATTGGGGGAGCTTTTTTTCCCTATACTCTCGTTCTCGGAAATGCTCATTCTCGCTCGCGCGCGTACACCTCGGTGCCGGCATTAGCCTTGTTAGTTCGGTTCGTCTCTCTCTCTCTCTCTCTCTTTCGCTCTCATGCGGCAGGCGCAATGCACTTGCAATCTTTGCTTCTCCCTGTCTCCTGCACAATCTTGACCGCGCGCTTGAAAAATTAGTCGCGCAAATTCCCTTCCGTTGCGCGCTCCGAGCGTTGCAAAATCCACCTCTTGTTTCCATTAGACGCCTCCCAGGCGATCGTTACAAATGTTTCCTCTCGGATAATTGAATTACTCAAGAGGGTTTTTACCTTTCAGGACGAAATAAAAAAAAGGAAAAGGCGAGTCAATGGCCACAGTTTAGGTAGGTAAACGTAACGAAAAAAAGAGACATAATTCGCGTACTTGTATCTTGAATCATAACCCTAAATTACGCTCTATTCGATGATTGCTGCACTCGAGTCCATTACGCAGCATGTCTTGGGTCCTATTTACTGGCTGCCGTGGATTATTTTGCGCCTGTCACATCAATTCGCCTATATCAAATCCAACTTTCACTGAAAATTTCGTTCAAGGTGCACACTCGCTCGCTCGCCGACGCAAATATCTGGCAATTAACGTGGTGTGTCCAGGCTGAAAACTTTTCTCTTTTTGTCTTTCTCTTGTAAATTTCACGGAAGAGAGTTACTCAAAGGGTACATAGCACGACACATTCGTTCCCACAGCGCCGTTGTATTGCTAAAGTTTTCTCTGGCTATTTTGTCATTCGCATCCTGGACAAATGGTCCTTTTCTTTTTTTGTTTCGTCTTATCATTATCAAACTCTTACGCGCGCGTTGCATCACGTTTCTTCATCTAAAACTAGATGCTCGACGCGCGCTGCTCTATTTATGCACTTTTCCCGCTTCGTCGACGGTATGTGCGCTCACGAGTTTTGTTAACCTTTTAAGGACGAGGTGGCGAGCGTGCGAGTGCCTGCAGGCACGATACGCTTTTATATTCCTCGCGAGAATAAGCGAAAATTATACCAGCTGTGATGCAACGCTTAACTTCTAAAATTTCTCGGTAGACCATCAACCAGCACCTGCTGCCTGAGCTTCTGATCGTCGTATACGTTGGTCCGATATCGCGGCGATCTTTCAACGCCTACGACTAACTTCGATTTCAAATACCGCTTATACACTGACGTTACTGCTCGCAAGTAATCGACGATAAGCTAATCAAAAGGGATGCACCTGCCCACCGAATCGACGAACGATTATTTTTATTGAAATCGATCACAGGTGATGATCATTTGACGGAATAAGGTGGCGCTTTAGATCGAGAGCCGTAGAAATGTGAGGAATTGGTGGTTTTTTGCTCTCTCTCTCTCTCTCTCTCTCTCTCTCTCTCTCTATCTCGCTCGAGAACAACTTTTTGATACGCGCCGATTTCCCATTTACGAGCTCACTCGCAATTAATTTAGATTGGCCGAGCGCTTTTGGAAAGTATAAGCAGTTCTTGTTAAAATTGCGCACGCGCCGGATAATCGCGATTTGCCCATTACATTAGCAGCTTTCGAGCCGAGTGCCGGCACGAGATTGTCCGTCAATTCGATCGAGCGACACCTCCTCGCGCCGCTTGCAATCGAAGGCCGGGGAATGGATCGAGTCGTCATCGACGACGGAACAATGCTGTTTCGATCGGTGTCCGACGGGCGCAAAGGGCTCGAGTAGCCGAGAGTCTGTCGTTCGAATCCCTCGGCGTAATCGTTAGATCCTGCTGGGCGGTTGCGCAAAGTGCCGGGGCGGCGGCGACTCGGAGCGGCCATCGAGATCGAGTCCGATACTCGCAAGACTCGACGCTGTCTACGCAACGCCGCGGCCGCGGCTATTGTCAGCGACGCGTGGGAGAGAGATACCTGCATCCGCGTCCTTTCCACAGCGGCGGCCTTATCGCTGCGCGGAATTATTACGCGTGCGACCCGCGCGCCTGCGCCGGAATGTTGTGGAAATTTGCTTCGCCTCTGACAGCTTCGCTCTACCCCCTTCTCTCTTGGCTTGTGTTCCTGTTGTTATTCGCGCCACTCGTATATTCACTAATCGCATCTGGTAATGCACTTTCGTTATTCTTATCTTTTTTTTGTCGGGATCCTCATTTTTTTCCGAACAAACTTCATTTTCGCTTGAACGTAGTGCTCGAAGATGGATATCTCAAGAAAACCAAGTGCCACGTTCTATTAAGTTTCAAGGATAGATTGGAGAGGATAAATCATACGTACGCCATTTTTCTTTTTCGTTGTAAAATTTAATTAGAAAATTTTATTTGTAGGAGATCTGTACAGAGGGACGTTACAAGTTAATAATACTTGGCTTTCCTTACAACCGAAGGCGTCACGGTAGATGTATGAGTGTATTATATTCGAGAGCGTATGTAACCTTATCATGACCATCGTATTTTGTATTCATTGTTGTTACCGAGATACATTCGTGCGCGAATAATCTAACAGGTATATAAGTTAAAAAAAAAAAAATAGAAAAGTATTTTGATGAAATTAAGTAAGTAGCAAAATAACTAATAATATGTGTGTGACGAATAATGTAGAGCACTCGAGAGCTATAAGCCGCGTACAATGACGGTCGTGCGACTCATGCCTACATTCCAATTACATAAGCGTGTGAATATACATACATATATTCCCGAGCGCTCCCTTACACTTACTTTGAAAAATCCGGCTAGTTTAGAAAGTTTCACATTCGCGCGACATATCAATTTCTTTTCGTGACTTTTTCAAACAATTATTTCTACGTTAGCGAGGCACCAGTTTTCAATGCGGATAAAAAGAAAAAAAAAACGCATACGTATAATGTGGAATTGCAAAAGCGTGTTGTTTGCCGGATGACTTGCGTCGATTTTATAAGACTTGACCCTGGCCCTTTCGACATCCATACACGTACTTTGCTCTATTTCTTTTTGTCGCCAGAGTAAGAGAGTGAAAGCCGAAAAATGCGTGTGATAGTGAAAGGCAATATGTATACATGTCGGTTCCAAGGGCTCCTTTAAGCGTACGCGAGTTCGAGAAAAACTGTCCGCTTTTGTTGCTGCGTGTGAAAAATCAGCAGAAAATCCGAGCAAGAAAAAGACAGCCGTTACGCAAGCTCGGAAACAAAAAAAAAAGAAAAAAAGAAAGAAAAGAAAAACGAAGAACTTACCGAGATATACGCTTGTGGGATGATGGATGCTTGATATTGGCAATGCCGCGCGTGGTGATCGTCAAGCGCAAATAAGTGTGAAATGCACTCGAGCGAGCGATACGTATGCGTAGACGTGCGGATATTCACGGGGAGAAAGAGAAATAGCTGCAATGGACTTGAATGAGAGAGATGTCCTGAGATTCGCATTTGCGGGTGGTGCACTCAAACTCCAGTTTTCTCTTTCTCTACGTCCGCGTGCGTTTGCGCAATAATAAGACGCAATAAGAGGATCGAGTGCCCTTCTGTCCGTGCTTTTTCGTTTTTGTACTTTGAGTTGCTTCCATTGTCGATGGCACGATTGCATTGAGGCGCGCACTGTCGTGACGCAATGCGCGCACGCGCACTCTTAGCCGAAATGACCGCAGGTGCCGAGTGCGTTTTTCACGACGGCCCCGCCGAATATTTTAACCGGCGTCCTCGTCCACGAGATGATCATGACCGTTGGATTGATAAACGGGCTTGCACGACCACGCTGACAGTGCTCGTAAGTCATACGCACGAGATATTCGCCGATCGTCTCGCCCGGAATCAGAGGATCCGATTCGACTTTACGAACGACTTGTCGTCCCCTGTTCTTGCTTGTAGGCCAGTTGTAAAAATTGGACGTGAAATATTTTGGGGCGTATACGAAGCCGAACGGGGTGTAGGATGACGCTGATCGAAGAATAGATCGGCTTCTCGGCGCGAACGCCGAGACGAGAAGTAAGTTGAAACCAAGAACTGCACCTTCGATTCCTTCCTCGAGACCTTTGTCGAAGTCCGTGTACTCTTGACCTACTACTGGGTCCCCGTTCGCTGGTATTACGTGACCTGCCATCTGGAACATTATTCCACATTTTATTATATTGACAGAAGAACGAATGCTCGGTAGCAATCCTGCGATTGATTGTGTTTTGCCGACAATGCGCGCTGGTGCAGAACCGATGCGCCAGTTTTTATTTTGCGCGATAATGCGCGTGGAAGGTCTTGCTCTCTGGAAGAATTGCCTACAGGGCACCGCTGGCGCGCCGAGTCGCGATAGCCATTGTCATCTCAATGGGCTTTAACGAGACAGTTCAATGCTGCCCGCCTAACTCAATTAATCGTCAAAACAATCACCAATCAATTAATCACTTGCAGTGCTACGTGAGCGTGTTATTATCGCGTGCCGCGACAGCACACGCGGATTTCTATCGTATCCGTGCTTTCGATTCCGAAAATCATTTGGCAATTGAAAATCATTTTACTGTCAGTTTTAACAAAAAAACACACAATTGAAATATTTTTTTCCTCGCGAGAGGAACGTCGTTCCCGAGTGGCAAACAAATGAATGAAACTACCTGTTTGGCGTAGCCGTGAGCGACGACGTGCGCGTCGATCCAGAGGGCGAATTGTCCGTCCCGACTGTCCCAACTTTGGCACAAGTGGTACCACCTGTGCTCCTGCAAATTGACCGGCACCGCCATTACCTCGACACTGCCGATTTCCAGATGCACGCTTTGACCGTAAGCCGATACCCATGCGCTCACTCGTCTCTGGGTTTCGTTGTCTGTAATCAAAATCAATGCGCGTTACGCGCACCGCGACGACGACGCGCTTGCTCTCGCGCGGGAAATTTTGAAAGAGCCTCGCGCATTTCTTATTACGTTTCTTTGTCATTTCTTGTTACGTTAGTAATCTTGTGAAATGCGCGAGACGTAAGGGACGCCCTTCGTCCTCTGTTTCCAACAGAAAACTCAAACTGACCGGTTGGAAGGATAATTACGCAAAAAGAAAGAGAAATAAAGAAAATAAAAAGTCAGTCGAGGGAAAGAGCATAACGATGTTCGTTTCGCCTCGCGTTAAACTCTTTGCATGCGCTCGCCGACGTTAAAATTGCAGTTTACGTAACGCATTGATATTTGTTTTACACACTATAGGCTTGTAAGAAAAAACTTACGTGAGTAGGAGAATATGGAATTCCTGAGGGTGTAGTTGACGGACTTCATCCACAGGCAATACGTAAACTCGCGAATTTCGGGCAGCGGCATTTCCCATCTGAGAAACTAAAAATCGGCAATCGCCGGCATAAAAGTGAAAAGAAATAACGGAAGCGAGCGACGGAGTGCCACCTCACCTGTATGTAACCTCGTTGCGTGAGCAGAACTTTGTGCATAGGCGTCGTCGCGGCGTCGGCAACCCCGAGCCGCATCAGAACGACACTGGCCAGCGCGAGAATCGCGTGGAGCCTTTGCAACGGCAACATCTTATCTGTCCGGGAGCTTGCTCGCCGCGCGACCTTTGCGTACCATACGGCTTGGCGTGTCCGTGCATGTACTTTCGAAAAATGTGCCTCTCCACACGTACACACACTCACACGCGCGCGCGCGTACACGTGCACACGTGGCCGCAGCGAAGCGCGGCGCGAACGCAAATCGCTGCGTCGCTCTTGATCTGTCAGTCGGCGCGCCGAGCTGCCGCGCGCGCTGCCCGTACGACATAAGAAACTGCGGCTAGAAAGAGGCAGCCGAGGAGGAGCAGCGCGCACGCAGCGGCAACGGCAGCAGCCTCGGCGCCGGCTTCCGATGCAAGCGGCACACGCATCGACTTTATATATACTTTCGGCCGGCCGGCGACGACATCGCCATCCGATTGTGATCGCCTCCTCCCACTTGTTACTTGGCGGCTGGGGCGCGCAAGCGCGTTAGTACGACGACACTCTGTCTCCCGGGACGTCGTGCCGCCACGTGAATAATTAACGGAGCGAAAGTGCGCGGCGGCTCGTCTGCGATTGTCTGCTCGCGACGCGGCCATTTCGCGCGCGGCGCGCTCGCGTTAATTAATGAAGAGCTGTCGGGATTTGCCGGGTAACGGGTAACGCGAGGGCGCGAAACGGCGGCAATCAGGCGCGGCTGATTGTCGGTTATTTGCGCCGCGCCGTAACGAGCTCCGCGCCTCCGCTTCGGAGCATCGCGCTAATTGCCCGCCAACGCGACTCTCAATTACGAATCCAACTCCGCTCGCGATCGACGAATTGACCCAGTTCTATCGCGGCTCGCTCGCTGCCGGATATTACCCGCGCGAATAGCCTTTTACCGCAGCCCAATTCATGGAATATTCAGCGCGCGCGTGCGGCCTCTCTCTCTCTCTCTCTCTCTCTCTCTCTCTCTCTCTCTCTCTCTCTCTC